TATAATGGGAAGTACTTGAAATGGAATGTATTTTAAAAACAGGCTTAAAGTAATCTTACGGGTAATTACATTCTAATTCATGCCTGTTTTAAAATTGTGCCCAGTGTACATTGCAAGAAATATTTAGTTACTGATAATCCCTCAAATTTAAAGAAGCACATGGTAACAGTGGAGGAAAACAACCCTATTTAACCACAAGAAATGCATAAACCCAATCTTTAATAAACATTTGTGTTTTGAAAAATCAGATCTTAAAAAGCTTCTTCAAATTCCACTTAGCAAGAACTTGTTGACAGAGAAGGGTGCAATTTTAAGGCTAAAAAAGAAAACAATCATGGCTGACTGTGAAATTTGTGTTTATTTCAACAAGCTGTTCTCCAGTCAAGTGAAAAGAATTGTTTCTGATATTTATCCAGCTATTGTAAATATCATTGACAGTTTGGATGACACAAATTAATCAGCAGTTGTTTCAACATCAAAGGAATAGTTCAGACTTTTTAAAGAGGTTTACTATCTCCATTAATTTTTGCATGTTACCCTTTTAAGTTAATCCTAACTCATAAAGTTAAATTTCCTCTCCCTTACCAGCCAGATATTTTAGATGAGTACATTTCCATTTCATTTAATCATATGCTGACACTTCATAACCTACATCTGCCTACCACAGAAATTTGAAGAGGACAAGTAATTTTGAGCCAGGCCTCTCTTGACCTTGGTGCTTGACCTTATATGAAGTGATTATCCTGTAAGTTGTCAGCCTGCATCACCTGTCTCTGAGACTCTGCGGCCCTCTTGTCACAGGGCTGGCGCTCTTAGCTATCAGACTGGATCCCTGTTGGAGAGGGAGGTCGAGTGTAAGACTTTGGCTCACTTTTAAGTCACTTCCATATGCAAGCTACTGTGTGCTTGTAAAGTTCTTTAGACTGTCATAGAAACATGGAGTCTCATGTGCTTGGGTGGGTAAATTATTATCTGTTTACAATTCTGATGGTGTCATGTGAGAGCTGCCACCTTTAGCTGGCTTGCAGTACTGGAACATGAAACCCGCGCACATTAAAGTTAAGACACACACACTCACACATGTACATGAATTTTTTGCAGCCCAGTTTATACTTGCACCCTTCCACTATTGGCTGCTAAAGTGCACCTTGGAAAACATTTGACAGATATAGCTTAGCGCTTTAAATATAGAAAGGGATACACCCGATGAAAATCTACAGAGCTATTTAAGAGAAAACATAGACATCACATCTGTCACATGCTGTACTGTGAATAGAATTCCAGTTGATAACAAGTATGACTCATTTATGCTTCCTCTCACTCATATTATTCATAAACTATAAACTAATGATAATCATTACAGTAATAGCAAGAACTCATGCTGGGTTTTGATTTTGTTTTTTTGATAAATAAAACGTACCCTTTCAGAGGGAGAAGGATTGGGGTAGAAGGTGGTGGATGGGCTGTTAACAGCTGAATAACTGGGTCAGTTTAAGATCACTGTGTTTGCTATCTCGTCAGCTCATCGCTGAGTGTTCACTGTTATCTGCTCAGCTTTTCAACAACCTTTCAATTCTCAGCCCATTTCCAGCCCTCCATCCCTACCCTTTTTGCTTCTACCGCTGAAGTAGAAGCTTATCTCCAAGGAAATGTTAAATCACTCTGAATGCACCAGAATGTAATATCTTAAAGCAGGGGTTTTCAAAGTGTGGTACAATCTGCCTCCACTCAAAGAGCAAATCAACAACTGCACCACCCAAGCTAAATTATTTCCTGTTTTCTTTTTTCTACAATTATTGTATTCATTCTTTTTTGCTCACTTGTTTCTTTATATATATATATATATATATATATATATATATATATATATATATATATATATATATATATATATATATATATATATATAAAGTATATGTATATGCATGTATGTGTGTCTGTGTGCATATCCGTGTGTGTGTAGTAAAAGCATGGATTTCCTTCTCAATGTCAGGGGTATAAAAAATGGTCAGATGTGGTTAAAATATGACTTGACCACAGAGTCGATCTGAAATTTTAATTATTGCTCAATATCTAACATATAGCAGAAGGCAACATCTTAGTTTTCAGATAATATAATTTCAATAATTCAAAAGCTGTGTTTATCTCTGGTTGTTTTGTTTAACTCCATCTACTCTGCAATTTATCTACCAACCTATGTTTGACAAAATGCATCAGTCACTTTGAGTGGAATTTTGTTTTCCTTATTCTAATAGATAATCTATAATTTTTAACATGGGTTTCTGAAAAATTTATTATTGCAGGTTCCTCTGTTGCTTGACTTTAAACTGCTTTTATGCAGTTTGAATCAATGTCCTCTTCATATTTTAGTTAATTCATTCAGAATATGAGACCTACTAACTGCCCTATTGACTGTCTTCCTTTTAAATCAATGACAGAGATTTGTCCGGCTGTTATTCTTGTTGTTGTAACTTCTATGAATGTATGTCTCAGATCAGAAGCTGGGCCAAGTACTTTCAAACAGGCTGTTGTTAAGCCTCTTGTCAAAACTTCCCATCTTGACTCATCATTTACCCCGGTTTTAAAAATTTTGGAATGTTAAAAATGTTGGAAATGTTTGTCTTAAACAGGTGGAAATAGAGGTGGAAATTTCATGAGGAAGACATGAGATCATTTTTAGGTACAATATTATGTTTCATAGGTTAATTCAAACAATCAGAGACTGTAATTCTATGTTCACACCATGATTTAGGCAGCAAAAAAGCGCTTACTGCTTCATTTTTAATGCTTGTACACATTAATGTCAGATATGCCTCAAGAGCATCTTTGATGCCCCTTAAGCGCGTCCAATAAAGTGTCCAGATGTGTCCAATGGCAGAGAGTGGCTTTGCTATTTGCTGTGATCAGAATATATATTTTTAATATATTCTTAAGCAAGAAATGTCCACCTCAAATTATTGTCTGTGCAGCTTGTTCATCAAGATTACGATCCTGCCTTAAAATAATATTTTGCTGTCGGAGCCTCTCAGACCCCCACATTTTGCCAGCATCAGCTGCCTCAGGCCCGGTCACCTCTTGGGGGATTTTCCACTTTGTTTGTGGCAGCTAGAGGTAGAATGTTAGTGTTTTTAAGCTATGTGGTACAAACTGCTGGCACCAGGATAAGAAAAGTGAATATATTTTGCCGGCAGGTTCCAACATTTTTAATTAATTTAGGCGTTAATAAACAGTTTCAGTGGAGTGATCATAGTGCTCTGCATCAGCACCGCTGTCCGTCTCCCTGTCAGCTCCCAGATCAGCTTCTCTGATTGGTTGATGTGGCGCGTCGAGCAACAAAAATTTTATTTTTCCAACTCCAGCATCTGCTTCTCTAGAAATTTTTAAAATTTGAGCGAAATTTCCAGGAGAAAAGCAGGGCGTACAATTTGCCTTTTTTTTTTTAGTAAAGGGCATACAGTGTTCGCCTGTACGCATTGCTAGGTAAAAGCCTGGGTGGGGTTCATCAAGTACCTAGTCCATTACACAGCAATACATACAACCATGTACACACACATACACTACTCACCTAACAGCAATTTAGAGTTACCAATAAACCTAAAAGTCATGTTATTGAGAGAAAGCAGAAGTACCCAGAGAGAGCCCACGCACACAAGGGGAGAAGATACCGACAACATGTCATAGAAAGACCCTAGGCTGGGATTTGAAGCCAGGTCCTTCTTGCTGCAAGGCAGCGGTGCTACAAACTGCACCACTGTGCTACCGACAATTATAAACCTCATAGAAAAAAAATAGTATCTATGAAAAAAATTGTTATACTTGTCATGCATGAGTCTTCCTTTTGTGAAGCATTATTGATGTCTTTGGTTCAAAAGGTTACTCTTTTAGGGATAACAATGTTCCTTGAGTTGCTGCTGTCCTCAGTTCAAGTGGTAAATTATGAAACATTCAGTAGGACTGTTGGTGTATATTTAATACATCAGCTACAATGCATTGGATAAATACAAAGAAACACCACATGAAAGTAATCAAGCTCCATCATCAATAATGGATGACCCAATCAAAGGGGACAGTGAGCTTCTTTTGTGAGACGGCTGAATGGGAGGAAAGACCGCTGGGGAGGAACCATTATGCATCGCTCCACTGGTCAGCTGTTGCGAAGATGATGATTACTATGGTTGCAATGATGCTGGTGATGTGAAAGCTCATTTTGCCAAAAGGGTTTTGCTGGATGGGGTTCCTGCACACATTGCTATTAGAACTAAAGAAAACCTGAATATTCACAATGATTTTTTTGTGTGTTTACAGGAGGCAGGATTGATGATGATTAAAGATGATAAAAATGTTAGCCGTTTTTCTTGCAGTGTTCCAACTTTAGTGAAATTATTAAAAGAAGCTTATTGTATGTTTACATTTTTGTGAGGAAAGTTTGTCCCATTAGCATTGGTGTCAAGTTGGTAAATATTTTAAAAATGTAAGTTCACTCCAATTGTTTTCAGTAAAATAAGCAATATAAAAAAATATCAATACTCTCTGTTAACCCTGCACCTTACTTGAACTTGTTAGAAGAGCTTTAGCTTCACACCAATCCATACCCTGCACTATTTTCTGTTTTACTCAGTTTAGGAGCTTCTGGTCGTGTAGTATTATATAACAACTATGCAAACACATTGAATTGGACACCTCTGGACCAACTACAGTCATGTGTCCCTTTTTGATTGTGTTAATGTCACTGTGTTCAATAGGCTGTAATTCCTGAGAGATAGGGAGCATTCATTATTAAGTGCATGCTTTATGAAAATTTCTAAGGTCTCATAGCCGACAGGAGGCAATGCAGGAGGTAATGCACTGTTTAATTACAATGGCTGTAACTATTATTGTGGATTGTTTTCACTGCAGCTGAACACAGCTCATGCTTTACTGTTCAGTACATTAATCAGCATAGTTGTAAGACTTATCACTCAGTGCACTAACTAATCTTATTTCTTCCTTTCTCTCCTCAGGTGGTGTTAGTCTTTGCACTCAGCATTGGAGCCCTCGGAATATACTTCATAGACTCCTCAGAGTAAGTAGCTCCAAGAGCCATGGTAGCACTTATAAAGTATTCTTATCTCAGCCCATTTAATAGTAATAATTTAACATAATATGTCTTAGGCATGGCTTTAAGTTTGTGCTGAAAAGTCAATGTACATATTCACCACTGAGAGGATGCTATCTTTCTGGATGCAGACATAAACCCATCTGCATTTGAGGTTTTGTCAATGGGAGGCCTATCAGTTTCCATGGCAGCAGAGATACTCGGTGTGTATGTTACGAATGCGGCTCTGTGTGGGACTCTTGATGTTGTCAGTTTATGTGAAACACTTGCTGGCATTCACCCAGAGACAGATTGCAGGGCTGGCTTCTCTCCCTTACACATTGCAGCTAGTTTTACTACATATTGACCAATTTTTATACCATTAAAGTGATTATTGGGATTTTAGGATTTTCTCTGTCTGTCTATCGTATTATTCACCTCCATGGTGTGTACCACTGCGTAAAGAGTAAGGATGTTACAGAATAATGTTAAATGCAGCAGCCACTCAAAACATTTTACTCATCTTTACTCGTTTTAATCGCTTGTGAACGAAGAGGTAGAGTGACTCTGTAATTGCTCGTACTGAAGCCACTTGAGTTAGCTGACTGAAGGATGGAGGAAATACAACCTCTGTCAATGCAGTCATAGTGTTATGAATATATTTTTATACAAATGCGTAAAAAATATTCATACCAGGGAACCTTTTTACCTTTTTTGACATCAAAACAACACCTAATGCATTTTCTTGCAATCTAATTGGAGAGATCAACGAAAGTGGTACATGAGTTTTCCTTTTTTACTAATTAAGGCTTACTAACTGAGGCTTAAGAGGTTTGCTAATGTTAGTTAACAAACAGTATCATGAATATCAAAGAACAGCATGCAGGTATTACATTAATTTAGGGAGGAGTTTAAAGCAGATCTACAGTTACTTAAAATACATCTTCAACCTTAAAAAAACACCACATTAACCTAAATGCCCTAAACCAAGTCTAAAAAAAAGCCACAACAATATCATGCTGTGGAGATCCAATTTTGTGAATAAAAAAGATGCTCAAGGACATTGTATTCTCAGTCTCTATAAGCTGGAGCTATAATTTGCAATAGAGTTGACACTGATTCTAATCTGTAGATATTCAAAGCTGACTGGGCTGTACATTAAAAAATCAGTTATAACACAAATTGTTTTATGATGTACTGAGGGATACTTTTCTTCCCCCTTTACAATTATGTACCACTTGGTTGTTCTATTTATAAAAGCCCAACACTAAATCTATGCATCAAAATAAAACTCTCAACAAAGTATTTATGCTGAAATACAACAATTAATTTGCAAGCCCGTATAAATGAACACTAAATACTGTAGGTACTATAAAAACCTTTAGTTTATGCAGTATTAGTATAATGAGGGTATTTTGCCTTTGTGTGAATATTGTCCTATGATGTAACAAGATTATCCTCTCTTCTAATACTAAAAAAATATAATTTTTTCCTTTCCTTATTTTAAAGTTTATAAAATATGTATGAACATTTCCCCTTTTTTTTTTTAAGAAACTGTAAGAAAAGAAGAGATGAATATATGTCAACCTTAGTTATGAACCTTATGTCCTCTACTTGTGCTGAATTTCTCATCTTCTCCATGCATGGATGTGTCCTTGTTTAACATGTACTAAAAAACATTCCTCATCTTTTAAATAGGAAATGTAAGATGTAATGTATATAAGAAATGTTATAACTGAATCTGGTTGGCATGTTTGACATCTTCCTTTTGTACCTAAGATTTATTTTTTTATGATAAAATCTTCTATTTACAAAACAAAAAAAATATATATAAATACAAATTACATAAACATCATCAAAAAACATCAGCCAGCCATTTAGATCTGAATCAGTTTTGTTTCAGATATATACAGTATGAAAAATATGACTAGCTGTACTTTAAAGTAAACTTTAGTTATTTTTGTATAGGTTTCGTATAGTATAGGGTTTAGTATAGGGTTTGCTGTAAAGTCAGTGAAACAATGCATGCAAATATCACCACATGTTCATTCACCAGAAGGAAATCATGCAAAATAAATTGAATTCAATGTATTTTCTTTGAGTGGAGTTATCCTACTTTTTTCTTTATTTAAATGACCTTAAATAATAGATTAACACTAGGTCTATAACAATGCTCATCCTTTTTTTGTCATCAAAATTGTTTTTCTGTTAGATACTTTGCAGGCTGTTTTAAGGGGAAAGTCATATAGAGATCTTGTGGTTTTTATTTCACTTTAATTTAGATTCTTTTAGCTGTGAAATTATGTCCCGGAGGAAAGTAAGTCTAAAGTGCAGAGAGATAATGTGTAAAATCTGCTGAAGTAATTCTAAATTACAATTCAGCAGGTTCAGTCTTATCTCTCAGTACCAGTGGAAAATTATTCCTAGCATGAATATAGACTCTCTTATTACTGTAGGATAAAAACCTTTGGCTCTTTTTGTCCTCTGCTGTGGATCTGCTTTTATTGTCCTTTTCTGTGCTGTTTCTTTCTAAGCAAATCATTGCATATTGGGAAGGTTTTTTTTCTCCAAGTACTCCTAATGAATAATTAGTAATCATTTTAACATGCAAGTGAAAAAATAACACCAACTTTAATAAAACCACAGATATTTAAAAATAATGAAAGGCAAAATCCAGAACTGATAAAACTACAGAACTGAACTGTAGTTTTATTTAAAGAGGGCTTTGAACAATCTGTCAGCTTCGCAATTCTACCTGAAAGAGAAGCACAAATATATATGAAAAAGAATGGATGATTGGAAAAAAAAAACCAAGAAAAATAAATATTACATAATATTTAACACAGAGCTGTGAGCATAGTTAGAATAAAGCTTTGATTTTAGTCTTTAATGTTTCCTCTTTGGTTCTAGATTGTTACAAAGTCTATTTATGTGTTATTGGGCTTCCCAGAGGCACTGTCCTGGTCTCTTATGTTCCCATTAAGACAAGGCTCATCAGAGTGATTAGCTCAAGCTTGTTACTAGGATGTGCACGTGCTTTTCTGTTGGGGACTACTGACCCATTCAGAGCAGCTTTAGCCCACCCTTGGGGTTTTGGACATCTTACAAATGCTAAAGCATGTGTTATAGCTTTGCTTTCAGCACAGCAGCTAAAGTTCTTATTGTGCTTGACTATGCAAAGATTAAAAACCAAGCAATGACTAATTAATGCATAAAAAAGCCTGATGTCTGTGATGTAGACAATCAAATAAAAGGTTGGTTAGTTGTAAATAAGAGAATAATGTTTAACACATTTTCTCTTCTTACTCACACACAGATGACCTTCTCCCTCACCCAACCTCCTTTGCTATTAAATGTTAATGACTTAGCAATCAATAGGCACGGATTTATAGGTTGCTACTTTAATGGAAGCAATTATTCTCCCAAATACCAAAGGTGGACAAACTCCTGGACCAAGCTGCCTCCAATGGTTTGCTCTCCATCCAATTCGTCTATTCTGAGCAACGGATTAAGTGCAAAACATTCTAAAATTAGCTATAAAAAAGCAACATTAATGGGAGGGATTATGGTTCTTTCCCTGCGTTCATACGCTGTGGAAAATGACATTTGGGGGAGTGGGTTGGATCTTGGCAGTCTGGAGATGGCCTTTTATTAAATGTTTCTTATTGAAGCACAGTACAACAAGTCTCCCTAATGTGTTGCTCCCATCTTTCTGCAGGTGGGCCTCTTCTGGTTGTTGGAAAAAAAAAAACTTCTGTCAAAGCACATACTCATATTGTAAAGGAATGGAATTTTAACTTTTAAGCTAAAATATTATAATAAATAAGTTTCCTTCTGTTTGATTTCACAAAGCGGTTATTTATCACTCTAAAGTGTCTGCTCAGTTCCTCTGCAGTACACTCTGCTTGCCAAACGGATTCTATTTTCACAGTGTTTTCAATGGGAGGCTAGAGCATCCTCTCCCACCCACATCTGAATCTGCTTTAATACCTTGGCTCATCCTTTTATTTTATCCTCCATCCCTTCTCTTTTTCTTCATTTTGCTCCCATGAAACAAAGAGGAATGTAGGACAAAGTCTCTGCAGGCTGCTCCTAAAGGGATGCCCTTGTTCCTGTTCCACTTCAATTTCTATTTCTCTCTCCTCTCAATCTCACTGTACCACACATGCAGACTCATGTATGTGTATGTTTGTGCACAGTCACTTTAAATGGAAAGAGGAATTGTGTAATTTATTCGAGTGTCAAATATGCCTCTGAGGCAGCATCTCAGAGCTGTAACTCTACCAGTAGTGTGAGATCAATGACAGCTCTAAAAAAGAAACAGTCCTTAATGACTAATTAATGGCTTAAGGTGAGAAATATGGCAGAGGAGCAAGGCGTGCTTGGTATTTACGATAAATGGCAGCCAAGAACAGGACCTTTTTGTTTTGGGTGCTGTAATATGTGTTGTTTGTGATTTTTAAATATAAGACATATCTTAAGTGAATGATTTTCTAAAATTGTAACAAACCGATTAAATCATTTTATCTCTGAATGGGTTGTTTTCTCCCTTTGGCCATGTGATCTAATATACTGGTTAGGTTTCATATATTCACAAATAATGTACCATCTTATTGTCTTAATATTAGTTGCCTTATTAATTAAAGCCTCTGCCCGCCCAAAGTGCCAGATGTTTTGCCAGCTGTTTTCAAAGAATACTGAACAGTTATGTAATTTGTTATTTCACTGTAAAGTCCTTGAAAACCTGCTTAAAACATTAGTTTTAAATGATCCATCTTCAAAAATGCATTTCTGGATAAAAATGACAAAAACCCACAAGATCATTGTTCATTAATTCACATTCACACAAACTGCAGTGTGTTCTTTGAGAGGAATTCTGTCTTGCAAAATGTCAGGTGAAAACCGTAATTGTGAGGTGAGTGTGTAAATATACGTCTGGTTGACTGGCTTCTATACAGCATTTTAGCGTAAGGAAAGTGCCCTTGTAT